TATATATATATATATAACCAGCTTCCATGTACTTAATCAGGAGCCAAAAAACACCCACTCAGCACACTTCAAGCCAACTACAGACATATTTAAAAAAAAAAAAAAAAACAACTCCTGCAAGAAACTCTTTAAAATGTGCCCAAGAGCTGCCAGTTCCTCCGCAAAGGCCGGGTCAGACAAGGATGAGGGCAAAGAACCCCTGCAAATTCTCCCGCACACAAGGATTGTGGCCTCATTGGTCAAGGACATGGGGCAGCCAGTCAGCAGGCAGAACTCACGCAGTGTTTGGGGAAAAACTTTCTTTGTATTTTGAAAAAAATATATGTCCACATCTCATCTACCCTCCCTCTTTCTTTTTTCTTTTTTTCTTCCTTCCTTTCTTCTATCTATCATTATCTCTTCATCCATCACCTATCAGGCACAATTCATCTGCTTGTCTAAACGCAATGCACACCCTCAACAGAAGCTGGCCACTAACTTCTATTTGCCCCAGGGAGAGGCATGCTTGAATGGCAGCTGGAAACAATGGATTCCTTAGACACAAACCCACCTAAGACTGTCCCACAGAAAGAAGGAGGGTCAAAATGTCCAGGCCCTTCTTTCAAGCCATGCCTGGGGCTGCTGGCTCAGAAAAAGGGATATTTTTGAGAAAGCAGCAGCAGGAAGGAAGACAGACAGACAACAGACAGTCTTGTAGTTGTCTAGAAGAGCTTTGATTTGGCATCGGCTGGGCTGCCTGTTACTAACTTGAAAGTGGAGTCTCAGGATTAGACGAAGCTCTGTTGTACCAGGAGGGGTTTGCCCACAAAAGCCAGGATTAGTATCCTTAACCGCTGACAAGAAGATCCAAAGGGAACGAGATGGCGGGGTGGCTAAGATCAATTTCCTTCCTTCTAGAATATTAATCTGAACCAAACTGGGCAGAGCAATTAAAACGCTGAACGTACTTCTCTCCATCTGCAGTCAGCTCAATTACAGAAGGTACTGAGGAAACTTTCATCTGGGGAACCAACTATGAATTAATTGAAACAGTTCTTGGTGTTCGGGAATGAAACGGCATGCAAGAATTCTGTGGTTGGTATAACAGAACAGCTGGCTGGTCCCTCACCGTCCTGCCAACGCGGACGGCATTAGAGAGCACTGGGTTTGCATCCCTGAAACCTCAACTCAATCCATGAGTCTTCCGGAGAAAGCAGAAGCAGAATCCTGGTTGGATTCTCACAGTCGCTCCCTTCTCTGTGAAGACAGACACGTTCAGGACACAGTAGACCAGCAATGAATTTCAGTGTCTGTTGTGGAACAAGGAGTAAAGGAACGAGTGGTGTGATGACATATTTTGGGGCTATAGTACATGCAAGCCTCTTTCAGTCAAGAGAATCGTCATAAAAGCAGACAGAGAAAATTAGAATGCATACATACATACATACATACATACATACATACATACATACATACATACATACATACGTTTGTGTACATGTGTGTGTGTCAAACTAAACTTAAAGAAAATAGAAAGAAAATAGAAGAGAGAAGGAAAAGTTGGAATAAAGAAAAAGAAAAAATATTCAGAAGTGACCTCCAATCTTCAGCACCACTATAAACAAATTTAGTAACTATTCATCTCTTTACAAATATTTATCTGTTCAACTCATATCAAATAAACCAACTTTATATCCCTTCCTTTTACCTAATGTTTATTCATTCAAGATATTGAATATTTGATTTCATTTCTTCATTTAGCTCTTTAAGACTTTAACAGTCCTCTTTTATAAACCCAACAAGAAAATTGTCCAGGCCACTCTCTTGGTTTATCATATCATCACCTTTTGAATTTTAAAACAACAATTTCTTCTGCAGAGCCAGTGAAAAACCCCTTTCCAGGTCATCTCTTGGTCTGTCAGTTTCTGAAATCTACTTTCAAGGCCAACTCTATCTTGTCAGATAACATTTGTGTTACATCTGTCATTTCTTCAAAAACATCTTTGGACCCAGTCTATCCATAGAAGCAAATAGCATTATTGATATTAATATTGTGTACTATTTTCTGATTCAGTTTTCCAAACTTTTGTTTCAGTAAATTTATTTTTATAAAGTTTTGCATGATTTTAAATCTTTCCTCTACCTATAAACATTAGTTGAGAGAGGGAGTACTCACCATGCCAGGCTGAGCAGAAGAAGCTTGCTGCAGGTATTGTCCTATCTCAGATTAGATTTGGAAGGGAACTTGTAGGTTATCTAGTCCAACCCCTCCCTTCTGAGAAATGGCGGTCCAGTCTTTTCTTAAAAGCCTCCAGTGATGAAGCTTCCAAAACTTCTGAAGGCAACTTCTGTTCCATCGGTTGATTGCTCTCACTGTCAGGAAATTTCTTCTTATTTCCAGGTTGAATCTCTCCTTGGTCAGTTTCCATCTATCCAAGGATATCTAGATAATCCATTTCATCCATGGTTCTCCTTAGCTGCAGAGCGATCACCTTCTCAATAATCTTATGCAAAAGAGAAGAGTGGTAAATAGTTACTGAAGACTATTAGTCCAAAGGCAGCCTCTTGAGGAGGAGGAGCAGACCACCTCTTTCCAGACTGGAGGCACCATCTCCTCCATCAAAAAGGCAGACATTGTCATGGAATGTGCACCGGCAGGAGTAGAAATCTTTGGCAACCCAAAGCTTTCCTAGAGAGAGGTTTGGATTAAGAGACTATGCAGTCCAGAACTGGGGGTGGGGGGTGGGGGGAATGAGGGAAGAAATTCAGAGTAGCCACGTCCTAGAAGAGGGGTGTCAAACTCAAGGGTGAAGGGCCGGATCTGGCCTGCAGGGTGCTTAGATCTGGCCCACGGGGCCACCTTAGAAACAGTGAAGCACTGGCCCGTGGTGCCTCTGCCAGTGAAAACAGGCTCCTGAGCTCTGTTTTTGGTTGTGACAGCCTCCTGCAACCCTCTGCCAGTGAAAACAGAGCTTGGGAGGGTCCCGTGCATCAAGGGCAAAACCAGATCTAGCTAATTCCTGTGGAAACCCACATAATTAAAGTATAGATTCTCCCCCCCCCCCCCTATTAGAGTTGGTCACATTGTCCAATTGAGTCTCATTGTGTTGCTATGAGAAAAAGTCTCTGGCTTTGGCAAACACCTGTCGGAGTGTCCTTGGCTCTCATGATTGTCTTCTTGATAGCTGGAGCCTCCCCCTCCCCCCCTTCCCGGCTCTTTGGCAAGCTGAGAAGTGCTAATAGTTGCAGCAGCAAAAACATGGTTCGAACTTGACACCAAGCTTGGTGTCACCTGCAAATGTGATGAGTTCCCCTCCTATTCCCTCATCTAAATCACTTATGAAGATGTTGAAGATTATTGGGCCCAAGACAGAACCTTGCATGCTTCCTTTCATGACAACATAGTTCCATTGAGGACCACATGTTGAATGTGGTTTGTTACAAGTCCATCTGGTGATGCTGCTGTCTATCCCACATTTTTTTCATCTCACAAAGAAATAGGTTGTGGTTGTCTAATGCCTTGCTGAAGTCCAAGTCCACTAGGTCCACAACATTTTGCTACTCTGGTAATTTAGTGTGTGTGTGCGCGCACACACACAAGCACACACTATATACGAAAGAGAGAGAGGGGGAGGAGAGAGAAACTGTGAAGGGGGGATGGGGCTTTTGTGCTGGCCTTGTTTTCTGCTCTGGTGGGATGGGCCTGACCTTTCTGACTTTTCCTGTGGGGCAGGGGCGTTTCCCCGATTCCCCTTCTGGGCTTGGGTCCTCTGATCGAAGAACAGGGGATTGTTCTGCAGCTGCAAAAGAAATCTGTCCTGTCAATAAAGATCTTGGCTGCTACATCAGCTTTCTATAGGAGGGAGGAAGATCCAAATGGAGAAGGAATTTGGCGGAGAAGTTTTATATCTAGTTTGAGATTCTGAAGGTGATTTTGATCCAGAGGGTTGGATGGCTCCAAAGGGCTGCCCCTTGTAAAAGAGGGGCTGCCCATGGAGGTGTATTTATTGGAATGAACCGAAGGAAACGAATTCATCCTCAATTAACATTTTCAAAGGGGGCAGCTATGACTGCCCAACTGAAGCCTCCCCCCCCCACCGCCCCATGCATTGGCATCCGTGATGCATATAAAAAGGGCTTGGAGTTTTGATCACATGGATGCAGCTGCTATCGGGTTTCTCCCTCCAGAATGACCCTGCGAAGTGGGCTGGCCCAAGAGGGAGCCTTGGCTCAGCATCGCCCAGCAGGCACATCTCCCCCATCCCAGCCACAAGATGTTGGCATCCCTGGCATCCATCTGCTTTTGTGGGCTAGGATTCACCTAGCAATTGAAGAAGGCGACTGCTTTTGCCATACATTAATCAGGACAAGAGGTCTGGACCATTAAGCCCTTTTCTCTTTTCAACTAGAGTGATGCTTTATCAGAATACAGAATTAGCAGAGGTTGAAGTGACCTTGAAGGTCTTCTAGTCCACCCCGCTGCTCAAGCAGGAGAACCTAGGAGTCCCTTCCACTCTGTTGGAATCCTCTGTGATGGAGCAGCCACAACCTCTGAAGGCCACCTGCTTGCATTAGGCCAGGCAGGGCATGTCCTAATCTGCTTGACCTTCCCCAAATGGTCATGACTGGACAGGTTCCCCAAATGGTCATGACTGGACAGGTTAGGTGAAATGGCGCTTTGAATTAAATGCCTGGGTTTCTGCAGTGGTTGTGAGCCTGATTTTCATTCAGATCATTTCCTTCTAGGGTAATTCAGGCATTTTACCCCCAGTTTGATTTGACTTAGCGGTGTGTGGGTGCCACTCCTCAAATTCAGCAAGGACCAGGGAAATTTGGGGCTCTA